TGGAGATAGTCTAAAATGCTCTGCTAATGGATCATCTTCGGCTATCCATGAATGTACTCTCAGTGCGCATTGGAAACAGTAGACTTTGTCAGATTGACCCGTATAGATAAATCCTGCTTCTGCCATGAGCTTTGGGGGTTGCTTCATTTGTACAGGCCAACTGTTGAAAGACTTCAGTCTGTCACTAAACTTTTGCCCAAACGTAATATTATTGCATGGTATTTCAATACAGTCTGCCACGAGGTTATCAAATGGTCCACACACATCCATGGCTCTGTTCAATATGAAAGTGAAAAGGATGAGACGTGGTTGTATATTACCTTAGTTATGTCAAAACGCTCGTGTCTCTATATCCGTGACAGATACACTGTGCACACCTCATCAGAGAATATACCTGCACGCAAACGTCCATACTGTTCATCCAAGATAGGTGAGGTATCCATGACCAGATAACCGTATTTCTTTCTACTTACAGCATCTTGAAAAGATTCGGTGAAATATTTAGCCTGTCCTGGAAATATTTGCGATGCTAAAATTTTATACTCATGTGCCGAACGAGGGTTAGACAATAACACAAAATAATGTGTGTTCAGTGACATAGTTCTGTTACATTCTCCCTTTGGATACGCTGATTGTAGGATGTTGATAACAGAAATTCCTAGATGGTGGGATAATGTGGTATATAGGTGTAAAACAGCTGACTTTTGCACACTTGTTGCATGAAGTCATCTACTACCAGCAGACAATGTTTATCTGATTCTAGAGAATATGAATTTAACTCCTGTTCTGTGGGGAGGACATCTTGAAAACGAATATTGGGAATGATTGTCTTGAGCTCACTATAGACATCTTGGCACACAGCATAGCAGTAAATAATCAATTTGGGTGCAGGATCAAACATGATATTGGCTTGTCTTAACAGACGTGAAACCCAAAAGGTTTTACCACTTGATGATCCGCCTATCACGGATATGGTTGTAGGCGTTTTAAAAGGTAACAGACAAGCACTTTCATCCATGATGTATCTTTGTCTGCTGTTCAGTATGAAACTGAACTTACTCACAAGCATGGAGGGTATTTATACATAACAAAACATCATTTTGAACTAAATCTATTTTTATTTTTATTTTTATACACATGGTAAAACATTGTACATCATTGTCAATTAAAACAAGAAGGGGTACAGTATTTGAAATAGTTGCATATATACTGAGATACAAAGTATCATTCCATAGGAAGTTCCTTTATGTCAAACTGATGAACAATACGATGAAAACTCCAGTGAGGTTTCAATGTACATAACAGATAATACAAACAATAGAACCCACACACATTTGAATCTAAAGATTGTATCCGTTTACTGTTGTGCAAGTATGATTGAACATAGGATTTTAGGTAACTATCAAATACAGCATCAATGGGTTCTGATAGGCTGTCAAACAATTCTGCTCTCTTTCCTTTGAAATACATAGCAACCCAGTGACGTCCTTTCTTTGACTACAGTCTGTATTTACAATAAGTCCAACCCTCTTTCTTATCATAGAAGATGTGAGTACAGGCAAAGTATCTTTAGCATACACTCCCAGGACATGACTCTGTAAGACAGGATCACACTGAATGGTACACTTCAATTCAGAAGCTTTCATGTTTACTTGATGTACACATTCCGCTTTATCAATTTCTATGATGGAATTTCTTTCACTCATGATAACACAACTCAATGTCTTAGTCAAAGCAGATTTGAATTCAATTTCAAGTCTCACATTTCCTGATTTCACAAGATTGAGGTAATCAGTATCTACTTCATCCAGTTGGTAAACAAAAAGAGCTGCCAAGCAAAAAGTCGTTTCTTGAAATACCATTTCCTGGTTTTGACACCAAAGTTTCTTGCTATCAAACAGGTTGAGATAGGTGTCTACATCGTCTACACTTGTAGCTCTTCCTGGGACACTGACACCATTCACATACAGGTTGATCGTTTTAATCATGCTGGATTGAAAATTGAAAGGATTCCCATCATATTTCCCATTAAAGCTGCTACTATCTACAAAGCCTATGATATAACGATTAGCAATGGGATTGGAGACATTGTCAATGGTATGTGTTAACTGAGAGACAGGAATGCTAGTGACCTTCACCTCAGATTTGATGAAAGGATAGAGAGCATTAGAGTTGTTCTCAAACAAGGTATTGTGAGCTATAATCAGGGCTGGGTTGACATTCAGTCTGCAGACTTTGAGATAAGCATCCAATAGTGTTATAGTGAATTTTTGTTGGCAACACCACTCATGAGACAGAAGGTAGGAGAGGATCTGTACAATTTCATAGTCATAGGTACACCATTAATCATGTATCTATCCATCTCAAACACATCTTCAAATAAGTTTCCAGACATAGTCATCTCTTGACTCAATGCAATGAACTGTCCTCGTCTCATCAAGCCTGTGTTGCTTCCCGTTTCTGTATCTGTTGATTCTATATCACTGTTCGATTCTCCTACATCTTTGTAGAACAACTGAGAGGTTAACTGTGTAGTCTTTGCATCAGCTCCAAAATTCAGTAAGGCTTTCATCATGCTCTTGTAAGCATAATGATTGTTTGTGGAAGAGACCAGCGTGTCATTCAAATAAACGGATAGTTGACTAAAAAGCGACTGGAAGAAAACAGGTTGACTGGGGCGACATGTTCTTTGGGAAGCAAGGTGCTCCCATCATTGTGAGTGACCTTGAGTTTCACGTGCAATCTTGTCCTCTTCAAATCAAGGTAGTCACTACCTGTGTTAGAAATACTGAATTCCAAAGGCGCCTCGTCGTTGATTTGACTCACTGGACGTACATTTTCATAGTAATGTTGTTGAATACATGTCTGAAATGGGGTAGTGTGAATAAATTTAAAGACTCGGGAACAATCTCTTGAAAATTTTACTGGTGAGCAGCCACATGGTGTTAACTAAAGATATCCTTTTCTTTCACTGGAGTGTACTTGAGCACACGAGCTGTCTTGGAGGGATGTTGCTTGTTGGACGTATCCTCTTGGTTGTGACCACCTGTTCACCTGCAGCTCTTTTAATGATTTCTGTCTCTTTCTTTAGCATCTGCTCTTTCCACCACACTTTGAGGTTCAGAAGTCACCTGCAGTTTGACTTGAACTTTTTGATGCTTCCTCAGGTTGATGAGATGTAATGAGCTTAGGTCGCGGGTTTCCATTCACCAATTGAGAACTACCTGTCATGTGTTTCTTGAAAAAATTCTGCCATTTGTTGTAATCGGGCACATACAGAGGTAAAGACTCCATATTAACCAGCAAAGGGTAACGTCTGAAGTGAAGTGTTAGGTGAGTCTCTTCTTCAAGAATGATAGTGGAGTTCCATCACTTGCTTTTATACTAATTTCAATGTCTGGAGATTCTTTCACCATCACATGGATATTGTATTCATTAGCAAATTTAAAGTTAGGCCCCTCCTCAGGTCTAAACGTCTCAACAATGGTAATTGAGTGTGTCCTACCAATGAACTATCACATAAGTTACACAACACATCTACATAAGGGTCATTCATATATGAGTGAGATCTACCTTTCCAAAGTTTAATTCTGTCAAGCTGACTATCCAGAAGCCATCAAACATCAATCTTTGATTCAGTTTCACACGAAAATGGTACGGGTGTTCCCTTTGAAGTAATCTTTCTTTGAGTCTGTACACTTCAGAAACACATATTTCTCCATTACAAATTTTTCAATTGACTTTCCTCCACATAAGAATCAAAGGATTTGGGCCAACCTAACCATCGAACCAAAGCATAAGTCTTTCCATTCATACGTTTCTTCTTTAAGATCTTTTCCACCTGCCACTCAATATCCTCTCCTTTATTGACCTTCTGCAATTCACCAGTATAAAAAGTACCTTTGATCATTTCATCATGAAAATCTTTGAGTTTGTACAGTGGAATTTCCTGTCTTTTAAAACGATGAGCTATTTTGAACAGTTCTTGTGTCCACTTCAAGTCAAGTTCTGTGTTGAAAGGTCTCTTCAGATATGGAATGCTTAACAAGATCTCCTACTTTATATCTGAATTTCTTCCTAGGGTGCAGACTTTTTGAGATGTTTCAACAAAGGTTTGACATACAGATGCTGCCAAACTTTCAATTCATTGTCCTTACTCACTTGTGCAGGTGATAAATTCGGTAGGAGGAATGCAATGTATGATTGTAGTTGTGCACTAGTTTAGGTAAAACATCGATGTAATGTTTGGTATTGTTGTGAGTCATGTAACGCGTAATCAGTGATTTTAGCGCTCTGTTGAAGCGTTCTAATGTAATTACTTTTAATGTTTTCATTCCGTGTAATGGTGTGAGTGATGTTTTTCTTTTCAAATATGACTCAAAAGCCTGCTCGAAATTTGATCCAGCATCTGTGCGAACCTTCTTTGGTTGTCTAGTTTTCAGTATTTCTTTGAAGGCTTTCAACACCGATTCAGGTTTCTTGTTTTCTAAAGGTAGCACAAAAGCATATCTGCTCAAGATATCAATAGCCACCAGCAAATATCTGATACCATCATTCTCTTTGCTATAACGAGAGGGTCGGCCAGATCCACATCAAACATTTCATTCATAAAATTCACCCTTACTTTTAACCTTTTAAATCTATGCTTGACTGGTCTATGTAAACTATAGGCATCTTGATTCTTCACAAATCGTTTCACATTCCTCAACCTGATATGATGTTGTCTGTTTTTCTTCAATTCATCACGAAGTTTTGTTGGACCAAAATAAGCTCCAGGATTTTCAGCATTGAAATAATACTTTTCTATGGCTTTTCTTGCTTTTAACATGCTGCTCTTCTTTTCCGAACTCATGTTGCACTGTGGAAACTGTGACTGACTAAGCAATATATAACATGAAACAGCATGGGTTTATTCATTTTATTTGAACATTCACTAAAGTTTGTTACGATGCATAATGATAACCGCCATGTTACAGAGCATGATGAAAGCACTTCTGTATTTACACTGATAGGATATGACCTTCAAAGTCCTGGCGCGATACCATGTCTTTCATCATGTCGCCTTCATCATAGTAGCACATACAGTTCATGAGATCCATACAACACACATGACACTGAATTTGTCCACTATTACAACTGATGTAACGCAACTTATTGTTGTGACGACATACACTGCAACTTTTCTGAAGAGGAGTAAGTTTCTCTTCCTGATAGAGATCTTCCATGATTCCACTGGATGAATCAACAGCTGTTATGTCTGTGGTTTGTTTCTCTTGCTGTTCTATGTCCTCCATGAGATGAGTGTAATCCAACCACCAGTCGTCTATAGTAGGTTCTGTGGTAGGTGTTATGGGTCGGGTTGTGAGGGATGGAGTTGACACTGCTTCAGTATCTTCTCCCAGGTTCCTGAAAATGACAAATAAGATGGGAGAATGTAGAACTGCAAACACAGTAACATGTACGTAAATGAAAAGCTATTCCAAATGATAAACTATTTGCTTACTTTGGTTGTATAGGAGGAGTGGATTTCTTCTTTTGAGACTTCTGCTTCTGGCCACTTTTCTGTTCCTTCACTTTCCTTGGCTTCTTAGCTTTAGCAACACGCTTGTTGGGTGACTGACGTTTTCTGTTACTTGAATTACTATCCTGAGTGGTGGCAGAGATTTTTGAATAATCCAACATCAAGCTCATGAGAGCTGGCGATAGCGAGGGGAATTTCTGTTCTAGAGTCTTCATTCTCTGGAACATCTCTGTGTATGTGGTTTTATACAACTCACTTGTTCGCATCATCGTTTCGTGCAAATGAAGCTGAGTGTTAAGAATATCCTTCATTTCTTGAAACGTACTCGAGAGCAGCTGGTCTGTTGAAAAGTCCACATGTTGAAGGTGAAACATCTTCTGTGCCATATGAATTGCAAGCAGAGGTGTGTTTCTGAAACTTGTTCACTCGATAATGACGATGAAACTGATTTGAAATGTCTAATACTAAAAGGTATATGGTGGGATTGTGTAGAGCATGTAAGCACTGATTGGATGTAGAGTGGTACACATGCAGTTTGGTTGGTTAATACTCTACATCAGTGGAATATTTTATTCTAACTGAGGAATGTTCGTTCGCCAGGGTTGAAATGATTTTCAGAGAGCTATGGAATGTTTAATGTATTCTGTGGAATGCTTTATTCTACTCGTGGAATGTTTGTTCACCCGTGACATCAATAGATTGAATGCTTAAGAAGCTTTAATGCCCTGTGGAATGCTTATTCATGTCTTCTGGAATGTTATTGTATTCTATTGAATGCTTTGACTCTCCTCTGAATGTTTATTCGTTACAACGTCAATAGGTTGAATGCTTTGAGTATGAATACTCTGGAATGTCTATTGTTGTGCTCAGGAATGCTATTGTGCTCATAGGGAGGTGTGCTCAGGAATGCTATTGTGCTCTGGAATGCATTGTGCTCATAGGGAGGATTAATCCTCAATCGATTGAGGATTACTGCTCTGGAATGCTATTGTTATGCTCTGGAATGCTATTGTTATGCTCTGGAATGCTTTTGTTCTCTTAGGAATGCTATTGTCTGTGCTGAACGGATTACTTTCCTACTACTAAAGTTTATTCATAAGGGATAAGGTATGATAAAAACACTTTTCGACACAGATTCTGCATAATGCATAAGAACCTAACACTTTCAGAAATCTCACTGCAAGTTTTTAGATGATGTTTAAATTTGTTCAAATGTTTAAATAACTAGACTTCAATCATTTCCTATTAGATTTAATATAACCATACATATGCTGGTAAGGCTGATAGATTTTAATTTCATGATAAAGTCTTTGACCCATGTTGACTTTCTATGGAGAAGTGGGCGGTGGGGTATCCTAGTGGTTAAAGCGTTCGCTCGTCACGCCAAACACCCGGGTTCGATTCCTCACATGGGTACAATGTGTGAAGGCCATTTCCGGTGTCCCACGCCGTGATATTGCTGGAATATTGCTAAAAGTGGCGTAAAACTCACTCACTCACTCTTTGGATAATTAGATAATGATTTGGTCGTGTTCGATGTTCGCAGATCGATGGCCATGATGCCCACCACTGGACTGCCTGGGCCAGAGTCGATTATTTACAGCCTGCCGTTAACAAAGTAACAAACAAACAATTAAGTAGTGACTTCACAAAATATTGCTAAAAGCGGTGTAAAGCCATACCCACTCACTCACTCGAAGGAGATCTAGTGAGGTTTATGTTGCTATTACAGACATCGCAATGACACGGCAACAAAATGAACTTTTTACATGGCACCAAACTAAAGATTCGACTGCCGTCAACAAAGAAACAAGCAAACAATTAAGTACTGACTTTCCCCATATCATTGCAGAGGCGTTTAGAGGTTGGAATCTTTCATGGGAATGTAAAATCACAAAATCGATCCTGTATTTGCAACGATAAGAGCACAACAAACTTAACATTTTTATCGGATTCTTTACGTCTAAGGTGGAGTTCTTAATGCTAATTTCCTCTAAGAAGAGCACTATTGCTTTTCCGCTTAGTGAAACCATATCTAACTTTCTGCGAGGCTGAATGAACCTTGCGTGACCAATAATTGTATATTCATATTAATGTCCACCAGAATTTCGTTTTCATGTTTTCTTAATTCCGATAAAATGGATTCTGTCTTTGGTATATAAATTAGGTTACTCCCCAGTATTTGTATTACTATACATTTAGTACTATTCTGTGTATGGATTTTATTAAAAACTTTCCGAGAGAAAAGAACTTTTACTCAGCGCTCTCTCCTGAAGAATGTTAATCTGCTCTGATAAAAAAGCCAAACAACAACAACAACACAAAACAAAGTGCAAAAATAGAACTATAATTATACTCGACAACGGATCTTACAAAGTCAAAAAAGGAAACCCACATTGCATGTGATTCTTTTACGTTTCAAACGCTCAACGCATCAGTTCCCGGTTGCCTTGAAATGAAATCAACCAATTCAAGTTTATTTCAAATATAGTATGGCCGTCGATCCTTTGAACACGGGCTCCAAATTCGATCACGTTTTGGGGTCTGCAAAACTGCCGCTGTGCCCTTGAAGCCTTCGAAATCTGATACCAGACTTGAGGGATCTTGAGCAAGGATTGTATAATTCAACATGATGACTGCAATACCTACCTCCCTTAGCCTAACTTAAGTCCACAAATTACAGGTCCGCAACTCAAGGAGTGAGTGAGTTTGGTTTTACGCCGCTTTTAGCAATATTCCAGCAATATCACGGCGGGGGACACCACAAATGGGCTTCAAACATTGTGCCCATGTGGGGAATCGAACCCGGGTCTTCAGCGTGACGACCGAACGCTTTAACCATTAGGCTACCCCACCGCCCCCCAACACACAAGGAGCGGGCTTTAGTTGACTGCAACAAAGACCAACAGAAGGCATGCAATATCCAGCACAGATACTGCGATGTACAACCGTAAGTTCGCAAAATCCAACATTTGACATCCTACAAAAAGGCACAACCTTTCAACAATTTTAAAAATTTCAAATAAGTTTTCACAACCGACACGGATATTGCAAAATCCAAGCACAGTTTAACATAATTTCCAAGAAGTCTGCCCGCAGGAGACATGCACCACCATACCAGTGAGCACGCCCTTATAACAATTCTGCCCAATCCACCAAGAAGTTCCTGCAATACAACAGAGAAGATACAAAATCCACCATGAGACTTTCAAATCCAACCAATAAGGAATGGGGAAATATATCTTGAAGCCAGGAAGGTACAGTAGCTGTCTACGAAATGAAAAGTCTTAAAGCTGCCAGAACAACATAAATATTAATAACCGTTATACTGTATAGTGGCAGGCAGTAGGTCAAGTCACCGAGCCACGTCGACTGATACCCATTTCGCCAAGTCGACGACTAGTATTGTGAACTTCGAACCTTATAATTCATCACCACAAATCTCACAGTACGAAGACCGGGTTCGAATCTTTAGTTTGGTGCCATGTAAAAAGTTCATTTTGTTGCCGTGTCATTGCGATGTCTGTAATAGCAACATAAAGATCACTAGATCTCCTTCGAGTGAGTGGGTATGGCTTTACACCGCTTTTAGCAATATTTTGTGAAGTCACTACTTAATTGTTTGTTTGTTACTTTGTTGACGGCAGTCTGTAAATAATCGACTCTGGCCCAGGCAATCCAGTGGTTGACGTCAAGATCATCGATCTGCGAACAACGAACACGACCAAATCATTATCTAATTATCCAAAGAGTGAGTGAGTGAGTTTTACGCCACGTTTAGCAATATTCGAGCAACATCGCTGCGAGGGACACCAGGAAATGGGCTTCACACATTGTTCCGACCCGGGGAATCGAACCCGGGTCTTCGGCGTGACGAGAGAACGCTTTCGCCATTAGGTTACCCCACCGCGGCAGCTCCCCTACGAAAGCAGGAATATGATCTTTTCTTACACTTCCATAGAAAGGCGGTTAATACTTCGCGGAACAATTTTTATCTAATGTCAGACTGACCTATATACACCAGCATCCTTACCTGATGGCATTACAACCATAAGTGCAACCTTGTATTTTTTAACAAGCTGCATACACATGTACTTATACACTAAAACAACTGAAACATTTACACTTTAAAACCTCTCAAATTCAAGTCAAAGGTCAAAACGCTTTGCAACAAACATCCTAAATTTTATGACGGGAAAGTGCAACGCCTGCTTAACCCCGTATAGCTTCTTGGTGAAAATATAAGTCATATGTACCCAGCTCGCTCTCTCTGTCCCCTTAAGTCATCAGCTGGGCTGTTGGGATACGTAGCACATTGTTGAATTTCCGTTCCCGGAAAGTCCTTCCGCCCCTCGTAAAAACTTACAATGACATAATTGTTATCATAACACTGACATCGGAAATGTTACACAGAGGGTTACTGTTCCTAAAACCTCTCGCCGCGGACATTTCGTGGGAGTCGTTAAAAACGAGAATGTAAATAGTCACGAAATGAAGAAATCTGTAAATGAATTATTTACAATTGTTTCAGTTTATAATGGTTCATTTGGGACATTTTTTTACTGTGTACTAATCTGAAAGGGTGTGGGTTGGGGGAGGGGCTCTTGGGTTTAGGTGTATTTACCTCATTTGTATGAGGAACATGGCGTTTGTAGTATACGCTCACTCCTTCAATCGGATGAATGAAAGGTAGAAAGCAGAGAGCTCACACATCTACATATGAGAACTGTAATATCCCCCTTTATCTGTATAACTTTTAAATACCATTTTAGGCTGTGAGAGGTCTGATTTTGAAATGTATTGTGGACCATATAGCAAACTCGCCAATGTCATGTTCGCCGACCTCTTTCAGTGGACTGCGAGACGTAATATACACTAGAGGAATGCAATCCCTTATTTTGCGTGCGTGCGTGCGTGCGTGCGTGCGTGCATGTGTGTGTGTGTGTCCTAGTGGTTAAAGCGTTCGCCCGTGACGTCGAAGTCTCGCTTCCGATTCCCGAATGGATACAATTTTCGCAGCCTGTTTCTGGTGTCCCCGGCCCCACAGTGATATTCTGCAATATTGCTAAAAGCGCCTTAAAACTAAACTCACACACACCCTTGTCCTTCCAGAACCCGTTGGTGGTGGCTTCAAATGCCATACCCGTTTGCAATTATCGTAGCGTATACACCTATGTGCGTTATCACATTAGGCACCTTCCAGAAAGGAAGCTGGGATATCCGCGTGACTAGAATATGGCTCCCTATTACTGATGTAACCTCGTGATTATATGGTTACAGATATACAATTTCCTTTATTAATGACAGTATTAGCGATCAACCATGCCCTCGGATTCTGTCAACACCCATATACTTAAGAGTGAGTGAGTGAGTTTAGTTTTACGCCGCACTCAGCAATAGTCCAGCTATATTACGGCAGTCTGTAAATAATCGAGTCTGGACCAGACAATCCAGTGATCAACAGCAAGAGCATCGATCTGCGCAATTGGGAACCAATGACATGTGTCAACCAAGTCAGCGAGCCTGACCACCCGATCCCGTTAGTCGCCTCTTACGACAAGCATGGGTTACTGAAGGCCAATATTCTAACCCGGACCTTCACGGGTCTCATATACCTAAGACATGTCCGTGGCTATTTACAAGTAATTTGTTATCTCATATGAAAACGTTTCATTAATTAATGTGCAAACGTTTTTATAATTTCTACCCGAGGGAGGGCAAGTGAAGACACGTATCTTT